GTATTAAAGGGTTGAGGCATCAGGACGGTTGAGAACCACTGCTCTAAGGGTTACATATTTAGGGTTACAGTATAAAATTAAGAAGTCTACACGGACTATTGCCATATTATTTTGTATGTTTCTTAGACATTTCCTCATCCTCTCCAATTTGTTTTACATCTAACACTTCGAGAGTCACTCAACTAAATCCTTCTATGTGCATAATCTCATTCCAAGAAAAAAAAATAGAGAACAAAAGAAAGAAATAAAGTGTCTATCCCCAGAGAATATATTAGAAATCTCATGTCAGGGGGGAAAAAAATACTTAGTAGAAAGACCTTTATGTAAAAGAAGTCATTCCCATCCCAAAGATTATAAAGAGACTTTGAGAATGAAGGAAAGCAGAATGCAGGTAAGAGTGGGAGGAATAATATTAAACATGAAATGGGTCACATGGTCAAGGCCTGAGTATGACTAATATAAGGGGACCATGCTGTGAGAGAGACACACGCCATGGGTGACTAGAATCATCCATTCAATCCACTTTCCATTGGAATACTCAGAAATTATATGGAAGCTGAAAAACCTCAGAGCTATAATTTTCTTCTCCCAGTGGAGACAAATTTTGACATAGATTAGTCTCTGAAATTAGACATCATCTATCATATTTATCATCGTGTGCTTCCTCACTGCTCCTGCAACTGGGATGAAAGTTCAAGAGTTCTCTGAAAAAAAAAAAAAGGAAGGTTGGGCTCTGCACACCTCATAGGTGATGATGTGCAACTAGCAATTTGAACCTACACTTGGATGCGGCTAAATGAAAACAGTTGACATTCATCCAGACAGAAATTATGACAATGGAACATCCTTGGTTCATTGCAGAGGAAATCACTCTAAGCAAGAAAATAAACAAAAGAAACAAGAATCCCAAAGGAAATTGCTTCATGGGAGGAGGACAGGGAGATGGGAGAGTTGGAACAGGAAACTACTCATTTAATTATAATCTTATCGATACTGTTTTTAAATTGCATTTGAAGTGTATTGCTTGGGAATCATGTGGACAATAAAGCCAAAACATAAAATATCCAGGAAGAACAATGCATGTTCGCTTAGTTCCAGTTAAACATTTGAAAAATGTTTTAGTCTGTCCTGTGTTGTTGTTGTTTTTTCATAATATAATTTAAGTGTATTTTTTCCCAAGTCAATCTTTATACATGAAAGTAAAGAGTTCAGCTTCTAGTCTTATTATATTTATATAATGACAAATAAAAGATCTTTTCTTCTTCCTGGCTCATTATATATTAAAAATCAATTTGAGTTCTTAATTATTATTATTTAATTGAAATATAAAACTACTAAATATATAGACATGTCAATAAAAATTTCTAAATATGTCTATACAACAATTAACCAAAATGAAAGGAAATTGGATTCTGAAGTCTGTGAGACTATAAAAACCTCATCCAGATCTCAAGACTTGGACCTCATTGTGTTCCTAGCCCTTCTATGACACATTCAGAAACCCCTCTATAAAATGGTTCACTCCTTCCACACACACAAAAAAAGGGAATTGTTCATATTTTACACATAACTTTTAGGAAAAGGTTCTTGGGATTGATTAGGGATTAACATCTTCAATGCATGTGCAAATCCTTTATTGATTGATAAGAAAGAGTGAAGTAAAGAAAGAGGTATTGTCCATGTATGTGATTAGGACTTGGAGTCCCTTTACTGTTGCAAATTCTGAAAGCAATTAAACAGGAATCACATATTTGACCAAAGACTTAAAATATTCTTACAGAACTCAGGAGCATCAAGTGAAAACACAAATGTGTGCCCCTCTGGAGCTGGAAGATACACCTGAGGAAACGTATATGGCACTTTCAACTCTGCATTAACGCATGTAGAAGTGTAGGTATCCAGGAAGAACTACCAGAAATGTGAGATGAAGATGGGAATTCCCAATATAGTACTCCACACAAAGGTTTGAGATGATGTTGGTGTATACTATTTAATGTAAATTGTTTTATTTAATTTCTGCAGAGAAAATTTACCAGGAAGTATACATGACAATATTGATCATATGCACTAAATCAAAATATTTATGAAATTATTTACCTGAGGTTTTATAATTTCAGTTATACATACATGCATTTCATCAATTTTAAAACATATGTTTTCAAATATATGAAAATTGCATGATAAGATGTAATATGAAACATTTTACAGATCTCAGAAATAGATAATTTGTAATGATGTAAGAGGTAGACTTACCATTTTTAGTAATACTGGACCTTCATTGCCCACCCTTCTGCCCTAAGCAACACCTAAATAAGCTATTGTTTACAGATATAATAATTTTCATCTGTGCAGGGTTCTTCCAAAACATTTTTGGATGCACTATACACCATGCAGTTTTCTTCATCTAAACTTTCATTGAATGCAAATCTGTAATGAAAAATAAAATGTTATACAGAAAAAGGAAATGGAAATGAAAATATCCTATCTGAAAAAAAAAACATGTATTTGCTAATTTAGTCCAGGAAAACAAGTCAGAGCATAAAAGTGTCGTTGTATGATGCTACAAATACCATGTTTGTGAGTGGAAGCCATATTCCAAGATTACAAATATACAGAAAATAAACTCAGATTATATAAAACATGGGAGGATGCTGAGAATATTGGGTCCCACCAGAAAAAAAGAAAAGAATGGCTATCCTGCTTTTCCTGGACAGTTTATGTGTGAGAGGGCAGCTTTTTATTTCATGTTGTTGCTAATTATCTGCTCATTTAAGGCCTGGTACCAAGGTAAAAAGAAAAAGTCACAACCTATTTTATGGTCTAAAGTACAGTAACTTCATGTCACTTGGGCATTCACTTGGATGTTCTAGATAAGGGTAAAACTGTTGTTCTCTTGTACCTAATCTCTTTTCTGTATTCTCATGCTCCAAACAGGTTTATCTTAGCTACAGTGTTCCTGGAATTTATATTCTCTGAGTAGTAAAGATAAACCCATAAAGAACAGGAAAGGCTTGACCATCAGAAACTTACAGTTTTTTGGAGACAGCAAAGCCATCTTCCCACAACCAGGCATGATGTTGGTCGGAGTAATATGGTCCAATCCAGTAAAAATTTCTACTGAATTTCATAAACTGCTGCTTTGAAACAGAGACAAATATATTAATCTAATTTGAATCTACTCTACAAATAAAGTACTTTCAAGAAAGTTAGTGTCCAGAATCATATCCAGACTCTAAATCAATCAAACTGAAATCATTTTAAAAGTCTAGTACAGGAAGTATGGTCATGTCTCGTCATGTTCTCTCATATGAAGTCCATTCATTCACGGAGGAAGAAAATATCACAAATCTCAATTCTTGAATGAATGGAAAACTTTATAAAAGGGTTAGATTTTCATGAAACAGTTCCTTCACAGAAGATAAGCCATAAGATTTGATTCCAAATCAAAAGCATCTTGAGGAATAATTTTTCAGATATAACCTTTTTGTCCTATACTCCCCACAAGTTCCTCATGCAACTAGAGTACTATTTCACTTAAGAGTTGGGTAGCTATTATAATCATGCTCTCATATTCGTCCCTCCTTATATCCCAGTATAATCACAATGGCTATATAATTATAAAACTTATATATTCAATTAAAAAACTAAAAATTGAAAACTTGCTTAATTGGTTCTTTGAATTAAAATAATGATCTATTACTTATTTCTTCTTTGATTTCTCTCTAAAATGCCTCTTGTACTTTATCTGGCATCTATCTTAATTTTTATTCCTATAATATAAAGTTTTGAGAAATTTTGTGTTGGTTTTATAATGATTGTTCTAAGGAATAAAAAATTAGTAAGTCAGTATATAATCATCCATTTATTATCTGAAAAGGTTTGAATCAAAGTAATTAGCTTCCTTAGATAATATGTTATCCTAGGCCAAAGACAATATAAGAAAACAAAATTAAATACACACCAGCTCATCTCTGTTTTTCAACTGAAGTAGACTGGAATTATGAGATGCACAGAAATCCCTACTTTCTGCCCATTTTTTTTTCTCATTGGAAATGAAGTAACAATTGCATTGGTACCCAATCCACTTTTCTTGGCAAAAACAGCAGCCAGAGCCTAAAAGAAAAAAATAAAACTTGACTGATGACATTGGAGATTCAATTTTTTTAAGTGCTATTTACTCATTCAAAAATCATTTTATTTTTTCTACAAATATTTTTTGAAGACAACTTCAGAGGATAGTCATGTGAATGAATCATGGGCATTATATTGTAGAGATAGCATCAGAATCATCAATCTGTTATTAATCATATTTAATGCTAGTTTGAGTAAATATACATAAGAAATTCAGTATGTTAAAACATCCGATAGTGGAGTGTAGGAAGTGACACAAAGTTGAGCTCTGCTGTGTGAATAGGATTAATTAGATGGAAGAGATATTTAGGGAAGAAAGACATTTTAGCATATTTTCTGAGTCAGAAATAAGTATGGTACATTGGGAGAACTATGATATATATTTTAGATATTTTATTTTCAAACTGAAGATAAATAGAACAATTGGTTTGAAGACCAATCATACAGTTAACTGGTAAGAGTGCCTTGAACATTTTATCCTCAGAGATAGGAGTAATGATACAGGGTATGTACTCAATCTTTGCCAAGTGAATGGTGCTCAAATTATAGAGTAGAATGGTCATTACATGGGGAAGGAGTCGGGGAAGTGGAGAGAAGTTGGAAATAAACTTCCAGTTAGAAGATCAGTGTTCTGAGGGTCTACTGAATAACATTGGGATTAGTTAACAATACTGTATTATACACTTGTAAGTTGCTAAAGGATAGATGTTAAATGTCCTCAGAACAAAAAAGAAATGCAATTATGTGACATGATGGAGGTATTAGCTAGTGCTACAGTGGTCATCATATTATATGTGTATCAAAATCAACAAATTGTGTACTTTAAACTTATACAATGTTATATTCAATGATCCTAGACCTATATAATGAAGAGCTCATATGCAAATGGTCATCACACCCTCGAGCCCTTGCGCCCTTGCACCCTCGTGCGCGGGGCGGGGGACCTGAGGCTGGGCAGGGGGACCTGAGGCTGCAACCCCTGCCTGGCGGGGTTTGGCAGGGGACCTGAGGCTATGCCCCCCCACCTGGAAATGGGCCTGGGAACCGGAGGCTGCGCCTCCACCCTGAGGGGCTTGACAAGGGTGGGGCAGGCCGGGTCTGGGTCTTGTGCAATTTTGAGGTGCATGCAAGTAGACGGGAACTTGACTCTGGGTCCTGTGGTGCACCCCAAGCTCTGACAGGAGGGGATTTTTCATATACATTTTACTAATTTTCGTTCATCTCTGACAGTTCTATTATAGAGAAAGGGCAAATAGCAATATTAAAATATTTCCTCTAATTAATTCCCTTTTAATGGTGCAAGAATTTTGTGCACCAGGACACTAGTATCTCAATAAAACTGGAAAATACCTCAAGAAGAAAAGGATAAATATAATACTATTTGATCATAGAAGATGATGAGACAACTTGGAGAGAATTTGGAAAAATGCATTAAAAAAATTGGACTCAGAGTTGGCTTACAATGGAAATACAGGTTCAGATTTGTAGAAATCTCTGCACTATATTCTGAGTCATGTAAGAAATGAAGCAAAGGTAAAGAGACATATAAATATAAGTTATGAGCATATAAGTTATGAGCAAACACTGGCAGGTAATAAGGATTAGCTGTAATATGTACTATAATTTGTTTTTGATTTGTTATATAAACATTAGCACTCATACAGGAAAACCATGTCATTTCAGGCCAATATTTTCCTTATTACTTAAATATATAAATGATGCACATTCAATGTACTAATAATTTAATAATTCTTACATTAGAGACCAAAGAAATGAGACTATTCTACAATTAGTAGATAAACTTGTCTTTTACTAAGTGTAATATTCCATCATACTTCTGTGTGAGAAAAACAAGAAACTATTTCATGCTCTATCAAAACTAATACTTTCCAAATTATGGAACCTACCTTTCTGAGGTTCGATGGTGGTGGGTCCTGGAGATGGTGTTGGCTGAACACTTTGTTTAGTAAGTGCTGTGAGAAATAATTAGAAATTTACTTAATTAGGTACAGGTTTGTAAAATAGAACAATATCATACATTAGTAAAATGAAATATTTCTTATTGAATGGCTTCATTCCAGTCTTGATCTTTATATCTACTTGCCTAGAAAAGCTTACCATTTTTCAGCAAAATTCCCAAAGTAGCCATTAGCACAAGGCACGTTACTCCTAAGATCCCAGAAATCAACCTCCATGGAGTGCTCTGAAAAGCTGTAGAGAAAGGGAGGTAGAAGGATGAGTTTAATAACAAACGCAGAAGCTAAAGTGCTTCTATGCAGAAACTAGAGAGAGAATCCAAAAATTTATTCGATTTGAAAACCCAACTATCTTGCCAATGAAACATTGAAAAATGAAGACATCCCATTGAGAATTCCACCCAAAAGTAAAAATTTTACGAGATGTACTTTATTCTTTAGGAAGGTTACCCATATTTTTCTTCTTTATCAGCTTTCTCAGAAAGCAGATTCAACATTTATTTTTAATTTGGCGAAGAAGCCCAAAGATCTGGAGTAAGAAGAAATGAAGAGGCACCCAGCTCTGTTTTATGGGCTTACAAAACAAACATTTACTTTAATTTTCTCAACAAAAATCACAAGATAGTAGTATGATTCCCATTAGGTAGATGAGAAAATTTAAAAGTTATTATTAATATTATTTTCTCAAGATATCAAAACTAGCAACTACCCAAGTCAGAAATCAAACAAAAGTTTGTCTGGGACCAGAGTCTTTATTTAATATATTCTGTCATTCTCACAAACCTACTTGGGAGCGTGTCCTTTTGAGACTACCCTGAGAAAGGTCAGGTGCTCCTAGATTTGTAGAGATTTTACAGGGAAGAAAAGACATTGGAGTATCTGGACCAAAGCATGTTCAATACATGGAGGGCTGGGTTTATATCACATTGGATTATGATGCATAAGCAACAATTTTTTACAAGAACATTATATTACCTAATACCTCATATTCCTTGCTTATAACCATTGTCCCTACAACAATTCAACATTAGGAGATTCTGCATTAACATCAGCACACTCCTAAAATGTTGTCATTAATAACAGACCAATGTGTCAAATTGTCAATCTGGTTGGTGTTTGGACTTCACAACCCAAATGCAAAATTTTAAAATAGCACTTGTAAGCACTGTGTCTTAAATATTTGGCATTCTCTATTTTACTAGAGAATGTTGCTCATAATTTAAGCTGGAAAATTCAGTTCTCATTTAGAATTTAGAGCTTTCCCTGCCATTGGCCATTTTTTAAACCTGTTGGGAAAGCTTCACAAAATCATTTCTAAGTTACAGAATAAAGAGTTAGAGAAGTAAAATTAAATGGGAAAGGCTGATACACGGGAAGCCTAACATTTCCCATATTATTTTCTTACAGCATGCCCTGAAATGAGCTATACCCACAAGACATGGTTTCCATTTATATTTACTTTTAAATTTTTGATTCAGGCCGACATACCTGCCATGAGAAATGTTGTTCCAGGATAAGTCACGATGTTTGTTTGTTTAAGAAGAACGGTGTTGAATCACAGAATTGAGCTGAAGGCTAAGCACCTGAAAGTTGTGTATGAAGAAATTCAAAAGGAAAAGGAAAAGGAAAAAAAATTGTGTATTTTAGTGATATTCTTGGTGTTCCGGAAACCACAATACAGGAAATTGTCACTACACTTGTGTAATGCAAATTCTCTGACAATCAGAAGGAAAAAAAAGTAAAAGGTTTTTTTTAACGTTTGAACAGGGATCATCTTTTAAAACTATTGGGAAAATGGGAAAAAAGATGGGCAAACCAAAGGTAAATTTGCTTAGTATAATAAAGTGCCACAAGAATTTTCTTCTTTTAATAATGATAAACATTTATAATTTACCTGTGTTGAGCACAGATTCAATTACTTGGCATATATGAGCACATTTGTTTCTGAATATTGCTTACTAATAGAGGTACATAAATATACTTATTTTTCTGATGAGAAAATGAAGGCAGAACTAAAGACATGACCACGGTCATTAAGTCTGGGACTATCTTTCTCCAGAGCACACATGCAATGCATTTCAAGTCAGACCCATCCCTCTGTGTCTATGTTTTGAGATCTTGATTTCTTTTCTTTAGCACAGAGTAGTTGTTATTTCCATCTCTCATTGTGTGCTTCCGATCCCTGCCTCATTAACCCCCGTGGGGAAGGGGAAGGTCAAAAAGGTAGAACCAGAGTGATTTTCCATTGCTGTTCCATCCATGCACACACACACACACACACACACCTGTGCTCTACAACAGCCTCAGTTGGTCCCACCCTTCAGTGGCTCATTCAGGTGAGCCCCAAAGTTTTTTTCAACATTTAACTCTCCATTGTTCAGTTCCATTCAAGTTCTTTGAATTGCAGCTGCTTTATTAGCCTTATTTGTACTATATTTAAGTATTATATTTTTACTGGGTTCTCTCACTCAGATAGCATACTGATAGCTCAGTTTACAAGTTTTTCTCTTCAGAAGAATAACCTTATTAGTGGGAAATTCAAATGTGGGACAAATGGGTGAATAAAAATCTGAAGAGTAGAAACTTTTGAGAGTGGGTGGGTGGGTGGCTGAGAAGAGATCAGCCAAACATGGACACAGATAATAGTGTGGTAAAGGCCTGGGGAGGAGAGTGGGGGCTGGCTAGAAGGGGTCAATGGGTCCTATATAATAAAAAGCTAATATGCAAATCAACCGAACAGCTGAATGACAGGTCACTATGACACGCACTGACCACCAGGGGCAGATGCCCAATGCAGAAGCTGACCTCTGGTCAGTGCGCGCCCACAGGGGGAGTGCTCCTCCGTCAGAAGCTGGGCTCACGGCTGGCAAGGGCAGTGGCAAATGCAGTGGCGGTGGCAGGAGCCTCTCCTGGCTCTGCGGCAGCTCTAGGATGTCTGACTGACAGCTTAGGCCTGCCAAAGTCAGCAGTCGGACATCCCCCCAAGAGCTCCCAAACTGCGAGAGCATGCAGGCTGGGCTGAGGGACCCCCTCCAAGTCCACAAGTTTTGTACACCAGTCCTCTAGTATATAATAATTACAACAACTAAGATTTTTTAAAAAATAATAGAGACCTTGATCTGTAATTAAATATCTGGAAATGCAATCTAATATTTACCATCAAATGAAGCAGATTCTCATATAAGTTTCTTGTTGTTTATAATATTTATTTCAAGCATTATAGTAGTAGCATATATGAAACGCATTGTAAGAGATGGGCTACTCAACAACCAAAAAACAAACAAAACAAAAAACAAGGAATGTGATTTTAGTTTCCATGAGTTAAGTTTTCCATCTGTTTAATTTGCATTGTGTGCATAGAGGTGCTGTCACTGAACCATGAAATTGCTAAAATTTAAATTCTTGCCTGAGGTTGTAAGCATGAAAATTCTTCATCCACATGTTATGCAAATTCAAGTTAAGAAAGGTAATTTAAAAGTGATCCTTTGTCTACTTGAAGTCTATTCAATTTTACTTTTAATTAAATTTATTAGAGTGACATTGGTAAATAAAATTATGTAGATTTCAAGAGTAAAATCCTATGATACAGAATCTGTATATCACATGGTGTTGATCACCCCAAGTCAAAATTCCTCTGATCCCCTTTACTACCTCCTCACACCCTTTCCCTCTGGTAACCACAATACTGTTATTTATGTCTATGAATTTTAGTTTGTGTTTTTCGTTTTTCCACTTGTTACTTTCAGTTTTATGTCCCACATATGGGTGAAATCGTTTGTTTCTTGACTTTTTCCATCTGACTAATTTCACTTAACATGTTATTCTCAAGATCCATCCATGTTGTCACAAATGGGAGTATTTCAACTTTCTTTTGGCTGTGTAGTATTCAAGAATAAAAATGGTTTTTGCTTGATAGTTACACTGCCCTTGTACTCTAGGAGATAAACAAAAGTGTTTCCTTGTCCTGTATTGGCCCATTGTGTGATAAAATGGTGAGATCAAGTCATATGCATCTCAAATGTATTTTTAGTGCTTGAAATAAGCAATTACATGTAAAATAAGAATATTTCTCCAAGCCCTAACCTTTTTAGCTCAGTGGATAGAGCGTTGGCCTGCAGACCAAAGGGTCTTAGGTTCAATTCTGGTCAAGGACATGTACCTCAGTTGCAGGCTCCCCCCTGGCCTGGGCCCTGGTCAGGGTGCATGCAGGAGGCAACAAATTGATGCGTTTCTCTCACATCGATATTTCTCTCTTCCACTCTCTCTAAAAACAAATGGGAAAATATCTTCAGAAGGGATTTAAAAAAATATCTCTCTCCAAGTTTTTTTAATATATCTGTATAACATTATCATAAAAGTGAGTTTTGTATGACACATGATGTTTAGAAAAAGGGTTTTCTGGATTAATCAGGAGGGAAAAGGACAAATGAGTGACTCCTTTACTGAGATTTATAAGCAAAAATACCCAAGAAAAAGTAAAAAGTGATGAATTAAAGTAACAAGGGTATAGATTATGTTTCTTTGGGGAAAATCTGGAAGCAATCACTGTGTGAACATGGTTTCAAAGCAAAAGGTTCAAATTATATTTAATAAAATACAATAAATCAGAAATTTTGAAAATGTGTTTTATTCTTTATATTTCAAGTAGGGACACAAATTTAATCAGTAACAATATAAGTGGTTTAAAATGTATTTGTGTAATGTTTGTTACAATAAGATAAAATACACAGCAATACATTTAAACATACTTTCTCCTGTTAACCCCTTTTTTCACTTTTTGTTTGGAAATGAATGAAGATTGATAGAAAGTTACAGAAATAATGCAGCATAGAGAGCTACCTTGTACCTTTCACTTAGTCTTCTCCAATCATGATATCTTACTTAGAGTATGTTATCAAACTCAAGACATTGACATTAATTCACAGACTTTATTCAGATTTTACCATTTTTATAAGCACCCATTTGCTTTTAAATTATTGTAACCACTACCACACGAACTCTGTTTTTATATTCTAGAAAATAATTACCAACAATTATTTTGTTACTCAGAAGTATGGTTGTTAAGGAAAAGGCAAGATATATAACGAAACTTTTTCTGTGTTTACCAACTTTCATTTTATTGAGTTGGTTCCGTAGAGGAGAATTTTAACCTTTATTGAGTACATCATTACATGCCTATTGTAGTGCTTAATGTAAATACCTTACTAAGTACATGAGCACACATTAAGTGTATCAGTACATTTAATGCTAGTGAATTATTTTGGCACGTCACTATTTTACTGACAAAGAAATGTATTAATGCACAGAAATTCTCTTACGTGCAATACTTTAATTTGCAGATGACAAAGGTCTACCTAGCAACAGGAAATCCTTAAATGTCTCCCACATCTGAATATCCTTGTCCTAGAAACAAAGATCCTGACATTCTCTGAAACTGAGTAACCAGTGTCTTATTGGTCATTCAGTTCCACGGATGAGCCTTTTCTTGATTAGGATTTTTCTTTTTGGCTCTCTAAGGAATAGAGAGAATCACCTTGCAGCTCTAGTCAAGTAAGGAAATATTTGCTATTGCTAGGTGCTGGTTTTCAGTTCTTTTGCAACACATTATCTTAATTGATCTCTGACATGTTACCCGATATCTTTGCAACTACAATATGGGATTTAGATACTGCATTGTTTGTTTTACAAGTATGGTAGCATTTCACAGTTGCAGTTTTAACTGACATTTGCAAATTCACTCATGGATATTGACCAGAGACATCACACAAAAAGCATGAAATGTACCAAGAGAACTGCTTTCCATAAAATAAAAAAAAGCAGACAAACAAGAAATAAAACAAAAGCAGCACCAATTCTGACTGCGGTTCAGGTACCGTTTAATCAGAATCAAATGTGAAAGTTTTGGATGAATTTAGACCTTTCTCAGCACTTGACTCTGCCTAATAGCTACTTTATAAAATGAAATGTCTATACAGAAAAAGAAGCATCAAATAAGGGTGATCTAATTGGTGATGCACATTTTGGAAAAACGCTGGCATTCTCAGATTGTTTAGGGCAGAGATTTTCAACCTTTTTCATCTCGTGACACACACAAACTAATTACTAAAATTCTGTGGCTCACCAAAAAATATATTTTTTGGCAATCTGACAAAAAAATAGGTATCATTTTGATTCATTCACACCAGAAAACTGTTGTGTTGGCTGTTGTCATTTTTTTTATTTGACAATCTAAGGGAAAGGAAGTCAGTGCACCCTAATAGTCCGGTATTGCATGTTTTTAAAAGTCTTGTGGCACTCAGGTTGAACATCGCTGGTTTCAGGTAAGGAGAAGTTTATAAAACGTGAAGAAAACATACAATTTGTTTCAAAATTTCTTAATTTTGGCCCTTAGAGCTCATCTCCTATTTAATAAGTCCCAGCATGGGAGACTTAGGTGTAGACATCTCACCTCGGAGCTGCAAAGAGCTGGCTGGCTGCAGCTGCGGCTTGTCAGTCCTCATGCAGCTGGAAACAGCGTCTCTGTGGTGAGCTGTTGGGTAGGCCGTTGGGTTCTCACTCTCAAACTGTGACAACTTGGTCACTCCTTGAACTTTAAAG